CGCGCTATGAGCGCAAAAGCGAATGCACCCTTAATGTTGATACTATCTAGAATTGTATGAGTATACAAAGATGCTTGGATATGAAAACCGTTATGTCAGCAGGTGCGATTCCATGTGGTTCCAAATGCAAATTGCTCACAGGTGTGTGATAGAAAATGTATCGCAACATTCTTTGTGACAAATATTACTTTTAACATTTCTTTCCTCAAATTTTTTAAATGAATTTTTAGGAAGAGAAGAACTTGTACTGTATAATAAACAATCTGCTCGAGGGAATAGGTACCTATATGTAAGGTATTTCGAAAACCATAATTTTCCGCGTAATAATTTCTCGTCAGCAAGCAGAATTGCAGGATGAGTCTGTCTTTCCGCCTGCTTTTGCAATTGCATAAAAAAAAAAGAGGTCGAGTGTATATCGCATAAACCTTCTCGCAGATCGCAGATTAGATTTGGCCTCCAAGCACGTGTATTGCGAACAAATCGACGCGCTCTGCTCTCTCGGTTGAGCTGCACTTTTCGTTTTATGTGTACGTATATATTCTACGTTCCGGTGAACTTATCCGCGAAAAATACGTGCGATCGGAGATAAACGTGCGGAGCACGTAATATAATTATAGAGCACGGACTGAATGGATAATAGATTAATTGAATGGATTAGATTAAGAAAATTTCGCGAGTCTCATAACAATATCCTCCGATGTAACGTCGCGCGTCCCGTTTTATTCACGGGAATCTACTTCGATTTAATCGTCGCGAGCAATCTTCTCTTTTGTTAACCGCACACGGCCGTGTTAACCGTTGATCGCGCGATTTTGGAGAATGCAAATCCGCGGAATCTCATTTCGAACAACGCGTAACGGTATAGCGTCGCTCCGCGAAATTGCATCGTGTTGTTCCTTCCTCGCGGGAATTGCAATTCCACGAGGTGTTATCCCGCAATTCGCGGAGAGAGGAATCTTTTTTTTCAATCGAACTTTACAATCAAGTAATCGTCGATAACGCGCAGTTTTGCGCCAAAGCTGTTATTGCATCCAATCGCGATTACGTGTTAACATCGATTGAAAGTAACTTTTATCATCCATGTTATAATTTCGCACTGAATAATATAAATGAGAACACTGAGAAAAGGATTCTTAAATATTTATTTGTGAAAAATATAAATCCCTATTTAAATACAACGAAATAAAATTTTATTCCTAGCTAAATAAATCTTCAATTTTTTTACAATTAATGAGATATATATTTCGCAAAACTGTATTTTTGTCATCACAGTCAAATTTTTACAATCAATAATAATATAATAATAATAATAATGATCTTTGAGACATTGTTCTAGTTTTTATATAGTTTTCATAATTAATAATTTTGTGGAACCATGCATATCCATCATCAAAACGGCACATATAATAATATTGATATTTACTTACGAATATTGCGACTTTTCTTTCACAATATAATACTTATAATATATAACATAATGTTACGTAACTGATACATTATCGAGTGTGAAAAATTGCAACATAGATGTTATGCTATTTTTAGTTGGCGTCGACTGGACTGCTGTTTTTTTTTTTTTTAATCAAGTGCAGTTTTCCTCGAAGGACTTTGTGCAGTAGAAATACGACACAGCAGTTCTCCTCGACAAGTCTCAATAGTTCTCCAGTTTCTCTGTCTTATCCCTCGTCCAGAGTTCTCCAAGCCGGTCTGACTTTTTCGTTTACCCTTAGACACGAGCGCGGATTTCTTGTATTTCCTCAACATTCGCCTTTCTCGAGACGTTTCTCTCCTTTGTGCTTCTTCATATTTCGCTCTTGATAGTTTTTCGATGCGACAGGGCAGGCCTCGTTTTGTGCTAAACATTCAATCTCAAGGGAAGTGATTTTAAAATTTCATATAGCGATTTGAGTTGATTACTGACTTTTTCGGAACGCGCTATTTCTAGTTTTGCTTTTATCGTCATTCTCCTCGGTAGTTTTCTTATCTGTCGGATACGTTTGTCTTGTTCGCTTGCAATATACTATATAGTAACACTTCGTGAAGAAAGTTTATACATTATTGCGATGAAAATATTCGATAAAAAGACAAATTTATTTTTATTTTTGCGTAAATGAAATTATATTGTTTATACACATAATATTTAAAATAATTAATAAATACTTCAAATGAAAACCTTAGACGAATATATAAGAAAATGAAATACCATTTAAATATGTCAAAAAAATGGAATAAAAATACATTCATAATATAATTTTTAAATAAATTACAGAAAATTTTTACAATATTTTCCCTTTGCTGTAAAAAATTTTCCTCGAAAATATATTAATAAATCATTGTATGCGATAATTAAGCGAACAAACTTGTACGTATACTTGTACAAATATCAGCCTCTTCGTGGGCGCCATTTAATCTCTCTCTCTTTCTCTCTCTCTCTCGACTCAACATCGTAAGTGCGGGACGTGTGCGCGACGTTATCTCTTCGATTTCTCTAAAGGGGAAACGAATTTAAATTGCCGATCGCAAGCGATTCCTACGTCGTTCACTTTCCCTGAAACGCGCTTGCTTTCTGTCTCTCTTCGACTCTCTTTCTCTCGTTATACCTTCGTTTCTTTTTCTCTCCCTGCCATGGCTTCTTCCACGTCGTGGTTCTTTGTGCTTATCCATCGAGACTCGCATCGCGAACGTCCTTTTCGTTCTTCCTTCTTCGGAGAACGCAATGCGGTTGACGAGCAGCGATTTGCGGAAGGGACTCGCGAATTGCGATCCGTGAGGCTTCTGGACGTGAAGAAGCTGACGGGGAGCGAAGATCGAGCGTATCTTGGTTGTACGTGCCGTTAAAGGGAAATCGAAACGACAGATCCGTCGATCAATTCTCATCGAACGCGGATCGATTCTCGTTGCGGATCAAATCACGGATGAGAGCGATATACGTCGGGTCGAAAGGTTGCGCAATTTGCATTTTGCCCCTTGCGTTTTTTTTTTCCGCGCCGGAATAATGAGATTAATGCGTAACGTGAGAATTCGCTTTCGCCGGCGCGATAAACTGCGCGATAACGAGAGGATGAGTCGCATTGAGCACCGAAAAGGAAATATATCTTTAGTGACTGTTAACTATGAAAAATCGCGTGTCGGATAAATTGTCTTTTAGTTTATGCTGATTATACACTGATCTACGATAAAAATGTTTAACAATTTTTATATATTTTTGGCTGCTATGTGCATATTTTTGTTTGCTGAACACTAATTCGTTTTCCAAATTGGGTTATCACACCACAATTTTGAGAAAAATGGCGTTAAAAATAATAATTTTGCAATTTTGACATATTGTAGAACAGCAAATGTTTTTCGACATTTTATGAAAGTATCAACGTTTAGTTTTGAAATGCATTTTGTTTCGTTTCGATATATTTTTTATTTTCGAGATATATAGCTCTGCGTATAAAATAAAAGTTTACAACATTGGTGTAACGTTTGTAATGTTACTGCTATATTACTGGAATAATTCTGTACGGGAGTAATTTAAAAATATATCGTATTTTTAATTTCATCGTAAACGTGGATTGTACTTCACTCATTTTTTATAGATTTAAATTTATCTAGCAGAATAAACAATACAAAAATCAATTGTATCTTTAAAGTTCAACATTGTCAATGGACGGCTCGATATAGAATATTCTTTAACCCGAAAACTTGTTTGAACGCGTTGCTCCAAATTTATAATAGAGATCCTCCCCTCTCTTGTAAGAGAGATAAATTATCTTGACGGAGATATATATTTCTGGAACTGGACGGTACACGTGTTGTCGAGTTTCCAGTGATATGCATCGGAATTTTGTCTCCTCGGGCGTAAATGTCGTATGCATGCCGTAGCTACGGCGTACCTTCGGTAAACAACCTGAAGAAGGGTAGAATGATGGCCGGGACAATGACAGAGGCAACAATGGCTTTTCTGTTTTGTGTTCCGGATGAATATAGCTTTGGCTATTCAGGAGAGAGAATGTCGCGTGTTCTCCGTATCCAGGAAGTTATTATATAGGTGCGCGGTATCGACGGACCGACCGGAGAGTCAGCAGAATGATGCATCCGTAATTACCGATAGTCACTTATTGTAGGACTGCCGCAAATTACACATACATAACAGATACATTCGGACGTTTCTTACGATGGGACTTATTACGGGACTTCCAATTTCGTCCGGCAGTCAAGGAAACAAGTGTAATCATGCCGATAAAAAGTGTGTTAGATATTTCTTGACAACGAATATATAGTTAAAATACTTTATGTGTCTCGAATGATATAGTATTACGTTAGTAAAGTTGAGTGTAGATTATACGCTTTAATTTATAAAAAGTTATGGGAGATTGACGATTAACAAAACTACACGTACTTATCAGGGCGGAAAATTATGCTGTCATATCCTGTTATAGCAATAGAAATTCTTACGCTTAAACTATCATATGTAAATGCAATGCATAAATTCTTCAGTTTATTTTATTTTTAGATTTAGGACTACGATTATGACTATATTTATGAACGAATTACAAGACATGGAAAGAACGGTTTTGATGAAAAATCTAAAACTTTAGCTAGAAATATAATTTTGTTGGACCACATTAAGATCACAGTAAAAACCGTTTTGTATGTAACTATTTTGATGTCTACGCAAAATTATTTTCAAATCTGTATCTATCAGTACCTAAATTTTACTTCGACGAAAGTATCGTCCTTTCCGTATCTTCTTTCTCTTTTTATTTATTAGAAGCGGAAGTAATAACTGACGAAGAAAAACGTAAAAAGAAAAGGAAATAATCAGCTCGCGCACAATATTAGATAACTGTATTGTAATTACGTTAAAATCGATGTTCCTCGAATATTAAAAGAGAGAGGAAGAGAGTATGATATATTCTTAATAAATAATATAAATATGATTAATGTTCCGTCATCGACCTGACCCTTCATTTATCATGTCCGCTCAATTGCTTTTCCTCCTTGACTGATCGCAGAGCTACGATACTCTGAGCAAGGGCAAGAAGTCGTGGAGCGTGCGGTTAGGCCTGTCGCGGCAGCATCAGAACCCCGGGGATGACCCTGGCAGGGGTGGCTGGGGTACCATAAGCGGCGGCAGCATATTCTCCCGCCAGATGATCTACAACGGCGATCCATGGCTTTACAGCACGGTCAGATCGTCGCGGCTCGCCGGACATGACCCGGCGCGACCTTTCCTGACACCACCGCCGCTGCCGGGCGCAACGCCGTTGCTCGTGGTATGTTCCTGCCCGGAGTTTCTCGCCGGCACCGTAAGGAAACTCGGCAGCTGCCGCAAATGCGGCGGCCAACGAGTGGCCGGACTGCCCTTCGGTGGAACATGCCGGCTGCCGACATCCTCGAGGTCCCGGCCGAGTCTCGCCGGTAAGTAATTGTATCTTTGCTTATTTTATATCGATTGTAATAATAATTATTATTATTATTATTATGTTATTTCGCGACATTTTTGTATTCGCTTCCACATTGAGAAAAATGTCTGGTTAGAATTAATTGGAATTCTTGTTGGAAAAAAAACGAATCAGAATTTTCTGATTCGTTTATTTTCTATGAGACATTTTTCTTAATGTATTTTTTTTTTTAAAGTTACGCAGTTTATGAATTATCTTCAGCTTGTGATACATTTAACAGGCAACATTTCATGAACATTATAGTTTATTTCATTAGGATGAGACTCAATCTGGAAAATGGATAAATCAGAAAATTCTATGATTATATCTATTGGATTTTTGATTATTTCAACTAGAATTCTGATTAATGCAACCAGATTCTTTTTCCAATGCACCAGTAGGTATTAGTTGCTTCGCGCGCTGATGAAGTAAATTGCAATATTCATGTAACATTAGGATTTAACGATATATCAAGATAGCGGACACAATTATTTGTAGTACAGTTTTTCGCTCTCTTCCTTTAATTTATATCTTTAGCTATTTCGTGGAGATTACTCTTATTTTTATGAACCTTTAAAACGGTATTCTCATGATATATAGAATAGTTTTCTTGTTGTTGTATTACTTATGCAAGATATATTAGAGAAATAGATATTTACGAAGTGGAATGTCCTACTGCGTATCTAAAATATGAGGGTGTCGGTTCTCGAAAGATAAGCGAGGGCGGGATATAAGAGCTTCTCTGTCGTGCTGCTGATGATGTTCATGCTCTAATTGTACGCGCTCTTCGTATTAGAGATTTTCTCCTTGCTCGCATTCGAGATAGCGTGCATGCGGCGAAGCGCAGAAAGTTCTCGGCCGCAAGCAAGATAACTGAATTTTATTCAGCGACTATACCTACTTTAGTTTGCATTTAAATCGTTTTAGATTATATCGTTTTGTTTGCCGAGAGAGACGCTTCAAGACATGTACTACAAATGATACTGGGTGAATCGTATGAAATGTAGAACAGCAACCTTTTGATTAAGGCAATTGATACTTTATACTTGAATGGTTTTCGCAATGGTAATCATTTTTGCTATTACGTGAAATATAAACGTGTATATATTGTCTGATTACCCGTATTACATTTGTCATGGTAATCGATGGTAAATAAGCGTAACAAATAGTTAAAAAATTTAGCGTACGCTATATTCTTGTTTCTACATATAGCTTCTATTTTATTCTAAAATCCTCTCGAAAATGCTGTTTTCATACTATAACAAATAAAATACGTTATACATTGTTAAAATATATGAAAATATTTAATTTTTTCAGTAGCACGCTCATATTAAAAAAAAAATTTATTAAATTTTATGACATTTTTTCAATGGTACTACTTTAACATGTACTATAATAAATGCTTATTCTATAAAAAATTATAATTCAATCAAATTAATGATTCTTGTATTACGTAAATATATCTTTACAGTTAATAAATATCTAATTAGTATTATTTAAATAAATATTTATTCAAATTTAATACATTTTTTAGTGTATATATACATATAGGTATATATACATGTATACAGCGTGCTAAAAAAAATATAAAAAGATTAAGGACGCTCAAATTCCAGAAGAATGCATCTTGAGAGAATAATTTCTCTGATATCCATATTAGAGAAATCGAAATCAGCGTCAGAAATTTCATTATTCGCGTTCGATTTGGAGATCTAGGTCGGTGGTAACAAGTCGAACCGAAACATTTGCGGGACGATCTCTTCTCGTGAATACAACGGTTAAACCTATTTGTTAGGTGTGCTGAGGACCGCTATCGACGATCCGTACGACCAGATGCGACGGAACCGGCTGGTGGAGCCGAGATCACGGGCGCGCAGCATTTCGCCACATCGACCGTCCTCGCAGCGAGATACCAGGAGTCAGAGCATGGTATCAAGGACAGCTGTCAAGGAACGGAAAGGCACGACCGAGGGTACATCGTCTAGATCCGAGTGGTTCGACAAGGAACCGAGCACGGTTGTGAGCTATGACGATCGCAAATCGCGACCTGATTTCACCAACGGCGGCGCGTCCTCAGATGATTGGATGCTGGATGAGGCTCCGGAGAGTCACTCGCGAACTCATTCCACCGCGACATCTGCCAGACTGACTCACGTCTCAAAGAAACCAACGAGGGAAGCGAATCAGAGAAGGACCAGCCATGATGACTGGAAGAACGGAACAACAACACCAGTTACTGCGGACTCGCGGAAAAGCATCCTCGAGTGCAACGTAAATCCATATCTGTTACTGAAAAAGCAGAAGGACGAGGATGATTTGAGTGACGATCTGTCGGATAACGCGCTGGAGCAGGACGATCTTAGAACAAGATCGTCCAGTCTATTCGATTCGTCGAAAGTAAAGTCGATCGAGAGGATACCGAATAGAAGTGCTGTAGCGGCTATCGGAGGTCAACGAATCAGAGTGTTCAACGAGAGACCTAGAGAGATATCAGACGATGATGACGACGTGCCACCACCGGTCACCAGGATTCCGATACCGAAGGTATCTCCAAAGAGACCACCTAGACGATTGAAAGAGGCCCGGCAGACACTGAAGAGCATCTTGAAGCGTGGCCGAGTGATCGAGAGCAAAAGAAAGAATGTACTCTTTAATGTCGATAACGTGATATTTGCACCTGAAAAACCGTCCGAAGCAACGCGACTCTCGTGGAGTAGAATCGGCAGAATCGCCAATTGTGGTAAGGAGCAGCGGGACAGTAGCCCCGAGCCCAAAGAAGAGGAAGCGCCAATCATGCCAGAAGAGCAACAGGAAAAACACAATTTCATCACAATTCCAAACATCAGGGATCCGAAAGTGGACAGAATCAAATACAAGGAGCCAAAAATCGTGCCGGAAGTCAAGAAAATCACGCCGTCTGGTCCCGACAAGATCAAGATAGACAAGTTCGTTCCGTCTAGGAAATTTGATCGTTCCATTATCTTTAAGAAGCAAGACAAGATCGGAAGCGAGTCGCGATCCTCACTTGACAACTCGCTATCTGTTTCGAAGATTGACGCTTCCAGAGAGAGAATATTACCAGAGGAAAGGAGATTGTCGAATGAGAGAACCGTCAGACTTGAGGACGAGACCGAGTTGGAAATCGAGATTGAGGAGCTGAAAGATCGTCTCCCGGGTATTGCTGTAGACGAGAAGGATCTAATCTTAAAGTCCGAAGGTAAGGTTCTTCTAAGTCATTATAAAATTCTTAATGGATTTTCTACAATAGCCACCATTAGTAATAGATCAGAAGTTAGAAGCGAGTCAGTAGTGTGTCACAAAACAATAACAAGTCAATAATCAATGGCTGCGTAGAGAATTAGAGATGGCCAAATTCCATTTGTTTATGAGAGAGAGATTTATTTTATATGAAACTTTGATACATTATGATTAATCAATCACACGGAAAGAACGAGTTTGCTGAAATATCTAAACATTTAGTTAGATATAGGTCTGAAAATAATTTTATTGGACTATTAAAATATTTATGTTTATAAGGACGTTCAAACTGGTTGCTAAAATGTCAAAATTTTTTATAGCATTACTCATCATGTTTGAGATTCTTATGTAATTATTTTGATGATCCAAAATTATTTTTATATCTGTACCTACCAAAATTTTTAAACACTTCAGCATAAAATTGTTCTTTCCGTGTAAATTTTCCAAACTATTTTGCTGTCAGAACTCCTGAAATATTATATAACGCAATCTAATATGACTTATTCTGGATACACAAGTTTTCTGACATTTATAATTCCACTAGTGATATATGTAGTAACTAACGGCTTATTGTAGAAAGCCTGTCAATCTCTTTCGCACGCATAATCAATTAAATAAAATAATATTAGGTTAAACTTATATTAGATAAAACCTAGAAGCTAATAAATATTCATTAATACAATTCTGTTACCTTATTTATAAATTGACGTATCCTATACTGCATTTTTGAGAAAAACAAAGAAATGTATTTCTCATTTTAAAAATAAAAATGAAAATTTAAATTTATAATCAAAATTTTTAAATAGAATTTATAACATAATTATAATAAGTACGAAAATAACTTTATGTTTTAAGAAAGAAAAAGCATAATCTGACTTTTTGTTCTCTTTCTCTTTTGATTGGAAATTTTTTTATAGTATATTATAATATTTAACACACGCTAGAGTTTTATCTATATATTTATAATTTTTTTGTGAATTACGTGTTTCGCATACAAGATCACGTAACTAAATCACTCTTTCGGTTACATATAAGTATGTAGCTGCACATTCATCACGGTCGATAGTACGTCGTTCTATATTTATTTTCACGCATTAACTTTATGACAGTGTACGTGATAATATTAGCGTTAAACGCTTTACGATGATGTTCCCGGACATATATAATTCATTTCTCAAAATTAGTGTCAGATATTCGTAATAACATAAATATTATCTCAAAGCCGAATCAGTAGCTATTAATAATATAGAAGTAAATTAATGATCAATCTCTCGCTGCAGCAGCGATAACTATAACCGGTCAGTTTACGGTTAGTGTGTGTGTGTGTGTGCGTAGCGAGGGACAGTTTGCCTCGAGGGAGGCATTTATAGTCGTCTAGGGATTAATCTCGTTTGCGGAAATTAGTAGCCTAAATGTACAGTGCAACTGTACTTTTCATATCGCGAATCAATAATCTTGCACTAGATCTTCAGCGCTTATCGTGTTATCATCGTCAGTTACGATCCTCCTCTCATCCGGTCATTATGCTAATACGCGTGATTAATGAGTCGCGTGTGGTTGACACGACTTATTACTATCTTTGAACTCCTGAAAAAAAGTTACGCATTCAAAGATAATGGCTCGTACAATGCTCCTACTAATGGTTTACGTCTCGTATTTTTATCTCGAGATTCTTAAAGATTAGCAAATTTTTTGCAATTCACGATATGAGCAACGCGATTTCTTTTCGAAAAAATATGTGATAAAGATATAAATATGGGAATTTTTCTTTCTCTAGGTAATGACTTTCTATTAATTATATACAAGGGTAGTTCGGAAAATGTGTGACACAGAAATGATGCCACAAATATTAAACTATAATTTTGGAGATCCTACACAAAACTGTTAAAATTTCAGACAGATGCGTTCATCAGTTTCTTTGTTTCGCCGTGTAAAGCAACTAACTTTTGGTTCCATTATGACAATGCATCCAATAAAAAAGGATAATGTTGAAAAGTAAAAAAAAATTTGCCAAAAATCATGTTTTCTTTATTAAACCGAGAATTTTTCGAATTATCCTCGTAAATAGCTATATAAGATGTTAATCGTGAGCAAAATTTGACAAGTTAACGCTAAAGTGAATTAATATATACTTGGGGCTGGAAGGCGCGGCTGCAGTATATGAATAACCGACCTTAAGACGGCGTTGCCGATGACAAGAGGAGAAAGGTTAGCAGATCCTGACGTCCCTGAGTCTTATCCTCGGGCTGTTTGGATCGCTTTTAAAAGTAGCCTAAAGAAGCCATGTGAGTTGTGTCTGGAGCATTCGAAAGTGTATAAGGTCAGGGCTAGCTGGCATCAAGTTGACAAATTATCCTGTGTGGTTACTTACTCCAAAAATACATTTTAGCTAATATATAATATAACAATATTCTCTATACATATTATACATTGTATTATATATTTTATTCATCTTCGTGCAATATTTTTTTAAATTTCTGCGCTACTTATTTGTAGATCTTCTTATCTTGTACTTGTTAATTTTCTTATTTTGCATTTCTTACTTTTGAACGTTATTGTTTAGTTTTTCTGTATGTTCTTAGAGGGTATATTAGTCTAAAACAGCAATAAATACTTTATCTATCTAGCTATCTCTCACTCATACATTGCATCTTTTTAGGTATAGATTACACAAAAGAATATTCTTAAAAGTCACAATAGGCAAACATTTAATAAAATGATCGGAAAACTATTGATTAATCATTGATTTATTTTCCATTCATCAAGTGAAATTTTTCTGTAGAAAAAAGCCATAACTTTTTACTTATCACAACGGTAATGTTGGACAATCTTTTCCTTTCAGTTTTGTGAAGATGAGTATTTTTCATTTTACAAGGATACACTTTACAAGGATATTTTACAAGGATGTTTTAATTTAAAAATATTTTAACAAACGTCGCATATTTATCGTAAAGCAAGCGATTCTCCACAGAGGCATTATCATGCTGCGGGCTCGCGTTTCCTGAGCATTCATGTTGGAAGAGAGAGAGATGCCGTGAAAGTGGACGCGTGGGAAAGATACGAAACGATCGGGGACAATGCGAGCGGCGGTTGTCCGCCTTATACGGAACGACATGTACATATTTATCGGTATGTCGGTGGCGATCCGCCGGTGTATCGTAAACGCTTCGTCAAGAAAGGAGGAATAATTACATACTAATTTAATCAGTAACGATCCGGTTCGATCTCACTTTAAAAAAAATTTTTTTTTTTAAAGAAAAGGGAGAGATGCGTGTATTTCTTCGATTTAAACACGATCTCGCTGATGGCATCAAGCACTCGCACGTGCTTCCGATAACTATATAAGTGCATCACGTAGCGCCGGTTTACGAGTCTACTGCAAAATGCGAATTCCGGAGCCGCGGAAGTTCACTTCATGATTGAAAATATAATTTTGTGAAAGTCTAGTAGCTTCCGACTAAGTATGAAATAATTTCCATCGGGAATTTCTTTCACACTTTATGATACATTGTTTTATTATCGTATCAAGATTACATCGCGTGCGATATTTTGTTTAAAAAAAAAAAGGAAAAGAAAGAGAAAGAGAAAATAAGATAAGATCAGATACTAATTATGAAGAATGTTTTAGAAAATATATTTTCAAAATATATATTAAAAAAATATATTTTTTTAGAAATATGTATTTCCTACTTTCTTAGCAAATTTTTTAAAATTTGTCAATTCTATTTCACGGAACTTCTTTCGCCTCTTCAATATATATATTGTTATATGAAAAATTCAGATAATTAGATTCTGCGTTAAGTGCGTAAAACGATTAGAATATTTAGTCTCTATGTAGTAAAATTAAAAAAATTGTTATCTATTACGTAGATTTCTAAAGAATTAATTCATGGGTCTCTGTTAATTTTCCACGTTGCTATTTCGCATAAATATAGATCTTTCTCGAAAAGGGCTTCGAAACCAGGTCTGACGTTTACGACATGATGAGTGGATTCGAGAATGTAGAGCTCGCGGTGCAAATTGAGTCTGCACACGGACAAGAGATAAGACATGACGGGAAAAGTCGTGTGAATTAACTCGGATGATTGGCGGTAACGTCGGAGTTGAAATGTGCCGCGCCGACCGATTTATACGTGGCTAGTCTGAGTGCCGGTCTCGACAAGGAAAAATAAGAGTTACGTGAATCCATTCTATTAATAGAACGAACGTTGCGTTAACCACTCTTTATGTACGTCATATTAATTAGTGTTGCGATTAATTGATATTCCGCGCGCAATCTTTGCTCGTCGTCATAAGTCACGTTTCAATGCTATTAACATCGATTATAATAGTAGTGGCACAGCAAAATATACATGTTATGTAGTGCAATAGTAATTGTACACCATGTGCATGATGATCGTGCTGATGCACTTTTGGATGTATTTATCGCTCGCGATACGTCGATTGATCGAGACGAGTTAACATGTAGCTCAGCAGTTATGCTTCAATAATCGAGCACGGCAGTATAGTTCGCATTGAGCTTACAACTGACAGTTTCTCTCAGAGAGACGTTGAGAGTCATTCATATCTTAAAATGAGACGAAAGCCCCGTTGTATTAATGTTAGCTAGACTTAATCCGGATTTAACTAACAATGTCTCTTTTAGTCACAGTCGAATAATTAAGGAGCGTCTTCAGAAAATTGAGTGTAAAAAAGCGACTCCATTTGTATTGTAAATATGCAGGGTGTAATGTAGCTGTTTCGCAGTCTGATTTCTCTGACAATTGTATACATTTGCAGTTAAATTTTTAATTAGAAAATTTATATAACTCGACTTTCTTCTTAAATATTATGTAACTTGTTCCCTCTCTTATCATAAAGAATTTATAAAATAAACTTTATTTGCATATAAAAGATGTTGTAAATGCGAAACTGTTTTTGAAAATTTTTTTTACATTTTATGTTTGGTTCTACCACTCCTGAGATACGTTTCGTGAATCTTAATGTTCGTGGCAGCGTATAACGGAAAATAAAACAGATCACCTGCGATGATTTCCGGTGATCGTGTTTCCGGTGTAAATGCACTGTGCGACAACGTGTTAGATAACTGCAAGCGAGCGAGCGAGTGACTGAGACGCCTCGTAGGCGCGACGCACCGAGGTTTCCTCTCTTCTTCGCATCCGCTTTGTTGTTTATCGCTTCCACACTAATACTAATCATCATTCTTACGAAGAAAGTCAGTAAGTGCACCTCTTTAAAAAATTATAGTTTATTATACGATAATTACGATTAATTATTTGAGATGCGAGTTACAAATATAAAAAAACATTAATTTTTTTATTTTAAAAGCAAATTAAAAATAGTAATTTAAAAATTTTAACCGTCAACCTACAATGGGTTTTTCGGCACAAACGGAAATTTTATTCTCAAATTTTTCCGATATAAAGGAGAGTGAATTGAACATTTACATTTCAGTTAAAAAATTCGATAATGTAATTATTTAATAAAGATGTTGAAAAGTAACTTTGAATTTGTTCACATTTTTCTTGAAAGGCTAGAATAGCCCTTCAAGAAAAATTAGATTGAACAAAAAGAATTCAGATGGCAAACGGTGGGAATAAAAATATGATTGCAGACGAAAGATTAATTAAAAAAAAATTTTTTTTTTATAATTTAAAATTTTAAATTATGACGGAAAAAAGAAGTAGTAAAATGAAATGCGCATATCGGTTTTAGTATTAGTTTTTAAAGATGAATTTCAGTATTCAATGTGTAATTCAGTGGATTCTATAGATAGAATATCTCCATTCATTGCTTTGCATAATCCATCTCCGTTCTTCCTTCACGATGCGTTTTAATTAGTTACTTCCAGTCTACTTTCTAAGCTCAGGCACGAGTAAACTCGGCGTTCGAATTATAAAATCTAAACGCCGATTTCTTTTCCCAAGCAAGAATCTTTTTACGCTCGTTTCTCCTCCCCGCGCCGGCGGACGTACGATCTTCATGCAAGCGTGCGATGCATATCGCGGATTATTTTCGTTCAGTTTCACGTTTTGTATTGCGCGTACGGTAATTCAGTAATAATGTAATAATACAATGACGATGATTTACACGGGACTGCTTTCGCTATGCTCTTTCCACTTTGAAAATTAATAACTGTAGCCAATCTTCTCGTAATTAAATTGAGGCATGCTTGTTGCGCTATTTGGATCACGTTTGAATATATTACACAAATAAAATTTTTTACTTGCTGTTTTGTTACTATTAATTAACAATTTGAATATAATCTTGGGACAGAATCTTTTTAATAATTGTATATACATCAGAAATATATCAATAAAAAAATATAAAAATAAAATAAATAAAATAAAATCTAATATTGCAATGTACGTTCTATATTACAGTTGGATTAATGCGTATACATTGGCTGTTTTCATAAGAAAAAGCAGTTTTATATACAAATATAACTATTATAAAATTTTTAATATAATTGATTATATCTACATTTATATCGAGGAACTACGAACAAGAACCATTTAAATTGAGAAATGTTACAACAGTTGCAAAACTGTTGTAACAGTTGTAACAGCTGTTTTTTCTATTACACGCAGCCATTCTGCATAAATTTTTATTATACAATACAAGTGTAAGGAAAAAATAAAGAAGTAAAAAAATTAAACAATAATTAAGATTAGATACAGAGCCGTTCATATGAATAAATCAATTAAATACGAGAAGTGCCAATTATGGTCAAACCTAGATATTAGATTGATATATATATAGTGTGTGTGTGTGTGTGTGTGTGTGTGTGCACTTTAAATAAATGTTTATTTCAAAAATATGAAAAGAGATTAAATGTAAGTGAACAAAATGGATGCACGAGAAAGACTTTCTCGATAAATACTCAGTGGATTTTAGAGGTACTATTGATCATGCAAAAGCACGTGCTGCGCCTGTAATGGATCCACCTGATCATACAGCTTGTGAGGAACCTTGACTCTTTCGCGCCGTCGTTGTTTACCCACGGGCCTCATAAATCATCAAGTTTGTTCCCTTGATCCGCATGCGCATGGTCCAGAACCATGTAATTATATGCTTTTTAGAGATCTCTCACATTTTCACTCGTTCGTACGATGAGACGACGGCTATGCAGCTTGATAAACCCTTTTTCACATCATGGCTCGCGATTCACGGTCCGTACATCATCAGTGAGCTTCTTCGTTCGTTTTGCACATGGTGACGTAAATCCTCGCGCGAACGAGGAACCTGGTCGTTCATCGTTCACTTCGTGCTTTTCTTTCATAGGAGAGCGGCTCGTTACTTAGCATGTTGCAGAGCGATGTTTTCTTTAAGCGTGGCACATCTCTCTTTCTCTCTTTCTCTTCTTTTGTTCACTACTTCAGACTTTTTTCTTGACTCATTGTTTACATTTCCTACATATGATGTAAATATACATAAATGGACATACTTTTTGCGATCGCCTTATTTGCCGGATAATTGCTTGAAACTCAAGGAAAATACACATTACCTTTTTCACGTCTTTTAGTAGCGAACTTTAAGGTATTCTAGATCGTGTGACTAAACTCTATTAATATTATAGATTTCAGATGTAAACTTTTCAAAAATTTTAGGAATTATATTAATTTTGTAATAATATTTGAAATATTATTATATGAAATTCTAAAATATGATGAACTAAAAATGGGACAGATATTCTACGTTGATGATCAACACGCTTAAATCCGCACAAAGAAGGCTCATCAGCTATTGCGGCACAATGCTTAGTTTCGCAAAACCTCGCAACGGCGGCAGCTCATCTTTTCTTTTACGTGCGTGAGATTGATCCAAGTCATAAAGCCATAAACGAGGCGAATCGGCGATTTGCGCAATCGCTTTTGCGGCCGGATAATCGCACGCGTCTTAGATATTTCTGATGGCCGTATAAAGTGGAGCAACCGTGGAAAAACCGTTGAATTTTCTCGCAGCGAGAAATTTCAAACTTGTTTTACTCGCGGATCACCCAAAATCGGCGCACTTTCACCGGTCATTAGAGATACGAATTGGAGGAAGTCTGATTTTACGTGAACTTTACATTGAGATTGGCGTCGTAACAAACAAATCAAATTTGAATGAAATATCGAAAGTCGAAAAGGATATTTTTACTTAAATAATTTGATAAATAAATTAATTTTTTCTAATATTCGTTATAAATTTAAAACTATTGTAGAAGATTCTAATTTTATGAATAAAATGCAGATATCTATTAAATTTTAATCTGTAACAGATACGTGATAAAAAATGATACAAATAAATTAAAACTATTTCAAATCGTCAAAAGTATATTAGTATGTTGACTTTAATGGAATTTCTTACCAGGATGTATAATATGATTGTTTTACTAGAAAGAAGTTGAATGTACTTTCCTTCTGTGAATGCAATTATTATTAAGCGATAAATCTGTTAAATAAGAAATAGCATAAACTTTCTCAAACACGCGTCCAAGTAAATTTTGATATCAAATCGTCGAGCGTACTTTTCACGGGTATCCAATTCCAACTTCATGCTTCACATCTGCGGTTTTCCTTCCGGGGGATTTAGCGTTACGGACATTTCTCCAGACCTGTGAACTGAACGGAAATTCTCGCTTTACACAAAAGGAGAATAAATACATCTATTTTATAAATATAAAATGTAAAAGGACAATAGGAGAAAAGAAATCACCGAACGAACATTCGCGAACATGAAATTACATGACATAAATCGTTTACTCTTTCACAGTTCGAGTTTGAATCGTAAAATTGTTATATAAACATGAAATGCATGGTTAGGATTTATTTAATTTTGTAAATAAGCGCTAAAGAGATCTGATGGATAAGAAAATTATATGTTTTATGATAAATGGATACGTATGCTAACTATGTAATGTATGTACGGCTGTTTTTCGCAGCCGAGTAATATGTAATTTGTTTCTGTAATTAAGAATGATCACGCTATATTAAGATACTTTCGAACCATATAACAGAAAAGGTACAATGAATCGATATTTTTTTCAAACCGAGCATTTGGAAAGGAGAACGGAAGTATAATATATCCTATTTTGTAATACTTCTCAATTTTTTCTTTTTAGTATGTTGGGTTTTATATGTTGTATGTCTTGATATAGTTAAAATTTTATTTCAAAATGATATATTATATATACATATACATATATATATATATATTCCGGTTTTTATAACGTTTTTACGCTTTCCGGTTTCCCTCTCATATGTCTGTGCGCCCGCAGGTGATGCACAGGCATATGGGACCTACTTTTTTTTTACGCCTGTTCCAAACGGCAAACTTTTAATGAGGTACTGTAAGCAAGAATACTCTGATGGTTTGCCAGACCACCGAGAGGAGACACGAGTGTATGAACATATTTTAGTTCTACCAGGAATCAAACCATAAATTTTTAGCGTAATATAGATCAATGCGCTATCCACTGTGCCACACTCACACGCGCGAGAAAATTGTATGTCCCTAATATTTTTGCACGTGGCTGTATTTTGATACTACAGTCTGTGTGCGTGTTTAAATACAATCATTAAAAGATAAATATATTTATGCATTGTGGAATTAAAATTCCTCACCATCGTTATTTCTTTTAATTACCGATTGATTTCTTCTTAATTGCTATCTGCAGAGAATTCGAGAAAATCTTTCTTGACGCGGAGTCAAAGCGATCGGTCGTTCAGCAAACCGGAGATCTCGGCGGGTGACGTCCTGTTTTCGGATACGATGCGCTTCAGTCTCAGCAAGAAGATCAAGGAATGTTCATCGTCATCGTCCGCAGTTTCACACGAGGATGTCGACGAGGAAAGTTCGCCGAGAAGAAAGAACGAGACGAGAGAGATCGAGGAAGAAACAGGTAGTGGGTTTAAGAATTCCGATCGCGAGATCGAGGCTAGCAAGAACGTCGAGGAGATTCCTGAGAAGACTGCCGATAATGTCGAAAAGGAGGTTGAACTGCCTCCAGATGCACGTAGTGATATTTCCGACGCGAGTAATGAACATTTCCGTACGATGAGACCCACGAGTTGGTCTCCGCCGCCTGGTAGACAGAGGCATCGCTTCAAGATCGGCAACTCTAACGCTGATGCGGATGAGAATCCTGCCAGTTCGATCAGGGATCATCGGCGAACGATCTCTTCAGCGTCGACAGCATCGTGGAATTCGACGAGCTCCTACGGATCCTCGAAGATCGAAATCAATTCGCCCGAGAGCAATGTCTGTAAGATCACGGTGAGCCCGCGCTCATCGCCGTTGGTACATCGGCTGCAGATCGGTCCGGAATCCAGTCCGAGAGGCGCCAGAAGAACGTCTATCCTTATCAACGGAGATCAAAATACAAACGCGGAACTAACGCCAGGTAACAAAGTAACTATCAGCGTCGGCGGAGAAGATAGCGTGTGCAATCCGACAGTGATCTCTGTAAACTCGGAGAATCCACCGAAGGTCCAGAATGCTGTGGAAAATCGCACTCTGGTAATACTTCAGAATTATAAATCGAACATCGTGGTTGAGTCGAATGATGATTCACGTTCCAAACAAATTGGAAAGGATCATGTCGTCGAAAATAGCGAGATGAATGTGAAGATGAACGGCGAAATACCAAAGTCGTCTAGTGAGAACCCTTCCTCGTGTCGCCACGTAGAACAGTCGGCAACAAATTTTGAGAAACAGAAGAGGCTGAGCGTTGAGATTAAATCTTCTAATTCTAATAAGTGTTCGAAATTTTACGCATCAGATGAAAGAACGACGCGACCGGAGTCCAAGACACGGTTCAAGGATATCGAAAGTTCCTCCAAATTGCCTAGCTTGTCCAAAGAGGCTCTGATCTCTAAGCTGCTCGAAGATTCCCTACGAAAGGCTCGCGAGAACGGTGAAATCCTAGACGAGGACAGCGGCCAAGCCATCTTGAAGATCCTGAAGCAGAGCTTACTGAAGAGCAAGGAATACGAGAGTTCTGAGTCTACTTTGGAAGCAAATTATTCGCATTCGTCTAGCTTGAATTCAGATGGCGACTTCATCTCGACGAATCTCTTCCTCGAAGAGAATCCATACGAGGTGATCAAGGAACCGATTTACGAGGAGATACCCGACGAGCCACCGCCGCTACCTCTGAGTCCGCCACCCACGGAAGATTATATCAAGGACAGAATTTACTTCGGCGAATATTACAAGAAAATCATTCCGGATCAGTTTCTCGGTCCCTATTTGTCCGAGGAAGTTTTTAAGAAATCCAACTCGGAGGATCTAGCCGAGACCTATTTATCTAAAAGTCCCGAAGATTTTTTCAAGAAAATGTCAATGTCACCCGAAGACGAGAATAACATCTCTACCAAGTTTGAATTGTTAAGTTTCCTAATGGATTCTAAAGATCGCACCCGTTCCGCGGAGGAGGACGAAGATGAGGACGAAGACGAGGAAGACGACGCCGAAGGAGATTTGGAGGCTCTATATGAACAGAAGGAGACTAGCCTGGGTGATCTCAGTTCCAAAAGTTCACAAATCTCCAACGTGTCCGACAGTAGCGAGGAATGTAATATTATCTTGACGAGCTCACCGGAGACATTAAAGGTGAGTTTGAAGCTATCCAGACAGCAAAATGTTAGCAATTTGTCAATGGATTGCTAGTAAATTCGATCAAAACATTCAACTTTGTATCAACTGGATCTGCATTGAACTTGTGTTTCGCTGACAAAGTTTGCTGACATAATGTGAAAGCAAATTGTCGGCAAAAACCAAGCGAAGCTTTGATCGATTCTTGCCGCCAATTTGTTGTCAAATTATCAATAAACTTCGCATTTTGCCGATAATATCTGTTTTTATGTTTTGTCAGCGAATTTTGTTGTGTATCTACTAGCAATTTAATATTATTAAATATAATAAATATAATTTGCATCAAGTTTGGTATCTTTTTATTGACAAAATTTATAGCAAACGTTTGATAAAATTTGTGTTTAACAAACTTAACTAATTGAATACCAATTAATGAGATTCGAGTAAAATATTTTTTTGAGATCTCTGAAATAATAATATATATGCAAATTAATGTGGGATTCTAATCAATGCTTCTTATCGTTTTCGCAGTCGAGAACAGTCGACATAGAGAGAACCGACAGCGGAGTCGGATCTGAGAGCAGTCAAGCCAGTAGCACTCGATGTGTCGCGAGGCGCTGGAGGACAGGCAACATCTCCTCCGGCCCGGGAAGCCTCCTCGGCGGAATGCCGCAGGTGATTTCCGGGGCCACGAAGCTATGCGAGGATTGCGAGCAGCGGCTGGATCCTCTGATAACAGACAGGTGAGTCCGAGAGACTTGAAACCGGAACTGTTATGCGTTCGATATCCGGTATTATAAATACGGAAAAATGCCTTGATATCTTAATGAATGTATCCCTTTTACATTTTACCTTCGTCTCTTTACAATTTCCCGTTTAAGTCACCGGACGCGTAAATGAATATGAACGTATACTACGAGAGCTTCTTGAAACTCGTTCTTAACACATCTCGACGTCCTAAATCGTACGCTGTTATCACTTCCACCCAGATTCATAGATAGCGTTCGATGATCCGGAGAGAGAATATAACGGTCCAAAGTCCTCGCTAGAGCGTATCTTCCACGGCTGCGCGGCCGAGTTTCGACCGTGAGAGATTTGGTTTACTGCGAACTCTGCGCGGGATTCGCTCGATTCGCCTCTGAACTATAAATCCATGAACAAAGTGCCGTTCTGCGTTCCGGCCTCCCAGGAGTAATCCCGCGAATCGAGGAACGAATGCCGTTTCGTTACGCGGTCGTGGACTTTTCACAGCTGTGATCCACCTGCACATTCGTCGTAGCGATCTGTACCAATCTTCCTCTTAAGAAATCAATCGAAAAAATCATCTTCGCTGGAATTAATGCATCGATTATTGGAAACGCGAACTCTCTGGTTAATAATTAACACTTCTCCAGTAAACAAGGATGGATTAAAATGCATTAAAATTGTTAATCCATCCGTATTTTAAATAGAAATTTTTCCCATTCAATTTACGATCCAAAAACTGACTTATTTTTCAATGAAAATACACTGACTGCTCTTGACAAGTTTGACTATCTGTGAATACCAATGCTAGTTTTTGAACGCATTTAAAATTTGTACATATGTATATTTAAGAATTTGTTCAACTAGATTACGTGACAAATGCAGTGCGAGAGAAATAGTGGGCTACTTTCTCCCGTCATCGATTTTATTTGCCCGAAAGCGAAAGTGTCGTTATCGAAGAGCGCGGTTGACGCTTGATGAATGGATAATGCAATATGCGTCCGGAAGTTGCGACAATCGCTTTCGTCCGTGATTGTAGATTACATATACGAATTTGTAGTAGTTCATCTGACAAAATTTCTTTGGTAGCAACCTCCTTAAGTATAACGTTTGCGTTACCGCGGCGCCGCGCAGATATTTTTATTTTTCATGTTTTTTTTCAGTGGTGTCGTTTATGCGCCTTTCGTGTGCAGGAAGTGCTCCAAGAAACGCGCGGAACGGAAAGAGATTATCACGGAAATCGTGGAAACCGAGCAGAAGTACGGCAGAGATCTACAGATCATACTCGAGGAGTTCCACCGGCCAATGTTAAGAGCAGGCCTTCTCACGTCCGAACAACTATCGGCGATCTTCCTGAATGTCGAGGAGCTGCTCGAGCACAATCTCGTTTTAGCCGAGAAATTAAAGGATAGCGTAGAACTCGCTCAAGTAAGAAACTCTCTCGCAAGAAATCTTATTTTAAATACGCGACGAATATTGAAAAGTATACGTTTGATCTTTTCGATTGTGTAGGAATCTGGGGACGAGGATCTCTTGACGGTGGACGTGGGTAAGATCTTTCTCGAGTCAGAAAGGATGCTCCACGCTTTCGAGAGTTACTGCACACGTCAAGGCGGTGCCAGTCTTTTATTACAAAATCTGGAGAAGGAGAAAGAGCTTCTTCGCATCTTTCTCAGGGTTTCTCAAATGGAGAACACGGTTTTGCGAAGGATGAATCTGAACTCCTTTTTAATGGTAATATCACTTAATTCCTTGACTTAATTTTTTATTCAGGAATAAAAAATATAAATCATACATTCATAACTTTATGTATTGTATTTTTTATAGGTTCCTGTCCAAAGAGTTACGAAATATCCTCTGCTTCTGGCACGTTTGCTCAAAGCGACACCCTCTGTCCGACCTGATATCCAAGAAGCGAAAAAGAGGCTTAAGCAAGCACAAACAAATATCGAGCTACATTTGGAACACATGAATGCTGTAAGTGTATCGCGATGCTCATATCCAATATAAAACTGAAAATAAATATGCATTTAATTAATAGGAGGCAAAGGATGTTACGTCGACGAAATTGTGGAGGAGAATATCGATTATTCAAAATGGCAGACGGTCTGTCGGCGAACAGGATATGGTGAATATCAAGCTGAGAAAGGTGTGTAAATCTAATATTCATACTTATTTAATTTTAAAGTGTTAATAATTTAATTCTTTAATCATGCTATTAATTTTTATAAAATTTACTAGATGGCTGTCGAGATCTTGGAATGGGCACACGAAGAAGCTAGGTTTGTCCTCGAAGGACGTCTTCTGGTAGCGCAACCGACTGACAATAACTGGAGACGCGGTCGAACTGTTAAACTTGCGCCTGTTACTGCCATGCTTGTTACAAACGGCAAAGTAAATATGTAAAATACGTGTCTTTAAATGTGTCTCGCGAATAATTATGTGCATAAATGTAAATAACATTTTTATTTTTCAGCCGAATGCCGATTATCCCGAATTTAACGACGAGTCACTCTTTCCCAAGCATATAGGTATCAAGGAAGCTACCTTACTTCTGGTCAAAGAGAAACTTGGACGATATTCTTTACTACGAGTGAGTGATTAGTATATTTCGTATCGTTTTATTATTCACGTGAATTTGTTTAAACCATTGATATCATTTCAGGAGCCGCTGTACCTCGATAAATGTATTGTATGTTGTGAAACAGATCTTGAGGATTATTTCGAAATACAAGAATTATCTTCTAAAGAAACGTTTATATTTAAGGTAAAATTACAAATTGTGATGATGAATTTTAATTGTAAAGAGAATTGATTAATATTGATACGAATAAATATTAATATTGATACGGTAAATTGATTAATTTTATTACAGGCAGAAGATGGCGCGAGAACGAAAAGATGGTGTAGAACATTACAGGCTCACGCACAGTCTCTTGGCGCTTGGCGCAAACGTCGAGGAGCCCTTCCTAATATCATGATCTGTGGTGTAGCAAGGAACTAACAAAGGCTTAGATGTAATAAGTACATAAGTAACACGATGTTATCCGATGTATTTAATGCATTTTTAAGTGACTGAAGCTCTTCATTAGTGCGAAAGTTTAAGCGGTTGCATAAATTCATGTAGATGATCTCCAAATGAATTAGTAATGATTTATTATGGAGAGAGAATGCTAGACCAAAGGATTTCCTCGTTTCGTTGACACGCGAAAGTCTAGTTCTTACCGAATTCGAGGTATAACCATCTGTGTTCGGTTATTACAGTACGTTGCAGAAACTTGAGTTTCCTACGACACTGTAAAATAAAGTGCTACGTGGCCTCGAAAGTCGCGCACAATTTCGTCGATTCCTAATGAATAATTTTAAGTGCATACACATATATAATATGTATATATATACATATATATAGGACTATTTAATATTAATGATTAAATCCTTCAAAAAAAAAAAAGACGAGACGAGTAGCTGTGATATTGACCGGTGTATTGGGTATTGTTTTCTTTTCGCAGATTATTTACGGATGTTAACATACTTAGCTGCATTTTCCATCTGCGATTCTTTTTACCAGTATCGCTTTTTGCGAAAATGATATTAATAGGGTAGATTCTATTAGATTTGAGGTCATAGGGTTCGCAGATTAATAGTATTGAATAATTCGCAAGATCAACAGCGTCAAGGATACAGGGTGTCGTATACGTTCCGTATGATTGGCGTGCATCGACAATTTGTAAAGCTGTCGGAATATATACTTATTTTAATTTCTCCAATTATTCTCTTTCTTTCTCCAAATAATTAACAGTATTTTTATGATTTCTAACACAAACAACATGCAAATTGTACATTATTTTTATTTAAGAATTAAGCCATACTGTGTGTGTGTGTGTGTATATATATATATATAAATATATATTTACAGATTTCCTCACGAAGTTCTAACAGAAATTCATTGTAACAAATTAATCTGCTACATTACAATCTGCGATTTAATAAAACTGAAATTTGATGCATATTTCAAGTATAGGTCGTTCCGATTAGATACTCATTTCAACATTTTCTTCCAATGTTTCTGTACAGTCCTGTATTACAACATTTTTCGTATTACTCAACGGTAATAAGTGCCGAGATGCGCGATAATTATATATTTCAAGCTCTGGATGTTTCTCGATCAGATATTTGTAAGCGGTTGCTAGCTTATTGATATCTTCCACGGTAAGTTGCGTTGGTCTGAATGTCGGGTCCAAGTCAGCTAATTTATACATCATCAAACCTAAATCTTTCTGACGCTCCTTCGGAAATAGAGTTCTGTAAGAAAAAAGATAACAAAATATTTATTTGCAGTTTTATTTATTATCATAATAGCAGCAATTTATAATATAACATAAACGAACTTACTCAATGCATCGTATACTGTACTTCTGCCTAAAACTGAATACATGCCTCGTTATCATTTCAAAAAATTTAAAATCATATTGTGTGCGTGGTTTGACCAATGGCGTAAACGACACCACTCCCACATCGACATTTGGTTTCGGAACAAATGCTTCACCTATAAAATTATAAAATAAAGTATAAATAGATTTTATATAACGAATTAATGTAATACAATAAAATGCTGGTACCAGGAATAATAAAACGAAGTACTGGAAATGTCCACGTTTGTGCCATTACTGACAGCCTGCATCGTTGTTCTCCCATCGGTTGAGCCACTAAACGTTCCGCTACTTCTTTTTGAAACGTTAATGTCATTTTTGTTCTACCAAATGCCCAAGGTCCACGTTGTTCGGATATCGCATGCAACCACTTAATTATAAGATGTGTCGCTAAACTAAACGGTAAATTGCCTATGACGAAGATATCTGGAGATTTATCATTCCAATCTCTCTTTTTTTCCAGCGGAAATAGACTTTCTATGTGTGTTTTCAGGATATCCTCGTATATTATATCCATCTTTCCATTAATCGCACCAAATGAATCTGCTAACATCTCTAAAGTCGGTTTAAATCTCTGGTCTTTTTCTACAACTATTAATCGTTCAGGAATCTTTCTCAGGATAGATTGAGTTAATCCACCTGGACCTGGACCGACTTCCAGTACTTGACTCCCGGAAATATTTCCCGCTTTTGCTACAATTTTGTTAGTTATATTTTGATCCAAAAGAAAGTTTTGAGATAATCTTTTCATAGCATTCAAACGATATAATTTTAGTATTTCTCGTACAGTTGGAAGTGGTGGCAATCGTGGAGTAGACATCTTTAAACATTAATCTTATACAGACACACTTATGTAACAGAAAAAAAAAATATTACTTTGAAAAACAAGCTCTCTATTTTATTATATAAACAAAAATATACTATTTATTTAATACAATGAGCTGTAAACTTCTTTATTAACATTTCAAATAAAAACTTTTTATGTAGCGTTGTCAATAATCTTTTCCGGCACTTCGAAGTCGTCTAAGAATTTTTCCTGTTTAACTGAATGTATTGTATAAGCATAAATTCCAATGACTGCAAGACCACAAACAAGAGCAGTATAACTATTAGCTTTGCGATATTTTTGTACTTGTTTTGCTCTTTGCAAGTTCTGTTCTTCCACGCGCTTCATATAAACTATATTTGTATTTGTAAGCTTTGCTGCATCTTTTATTATATCAATTTTTGGCATAGTTTCATTCTGTTGAAGTTGACTATCTGTAGACAATATTATTAAGTTTACTTATGTCAAAGAGTACCAAATAAAATATTCAACTTAAATCATTCACCAGGTCCCATTTCCACACACCAGTGTTCTCAACGAATTAGAATAGATCTTTGTTTCTTTTCTTGTTATCAGTTTCAGCCATAAAAAAGCTACAACAGAAAAAAATACCATTGAAAAAACTATTTATCTATTTATATAGACATTCTAAGTCATAGAGAAATCATTAAAATTGTAGTATTTTTAGATAACATTTTAGTATTTTTAGATAACACGCATGTATATCAGAATTTCAATAATACATAAATTTTGACTACATAAAAATGTTTCCTATAAATGTTATCCATATGACTAAAAAAATTGACTGAAATCACTAATTAATCTTTCTAAAAAATTATAAAAATATAACACAATTTTAATCGAAAAACGTATTAATATCTAGAATTTTGAGGTTAAGTTAAATCAGCCTATTAACTCTCATTCATATTTATTTTATATATATGAAAATTATTAAATATTAATTAAGAGACGCTTTATACATTTGATAAAGATATATACGTTATACATACAGTGAAATAATCTTATATCCCGGTTTAGATTCTTTACATCACAAAATCGCGCAAAGACCACACGCACACCTGCTACCTGCACTTTTGTTATACTGTGCTTTTGTGCACACCACACCACACTACCCAGACACCCAGTGCGATACTGCCATCACAGACGAGCGGCGATTATGTAAAATACATGACAGAAAATAACTTCAGATATCTCCGTTGGTATTATCAAGCTTTATTATGTATATCAATTTAGTCTTAATGAATTGATTTTATTGATTAGATTTTAAATATGAAAAGTAATTTAGAAATCTTAATATATACAGCGTGTTATATTTTTACCTTTAACAAATAATCATTAACTACTACTATTATTTGCAACAAGAATTTATATCAATTTATACAAATCGATAAAGTTATCAAAAGATATAGTCAAATAAAAAAAAAACATTTGGCAAATTTTCAAAAATTTTCAAGATTTTTAAATATATTAAATTTAGTGGTTAATTTACATTTTATTAGCATATAAAAGCTTTTTACTGTTTTATAGATTCGCGTTTCAATATGGAAATGTACAATTTGATTTATTAGGTAAATGATTTATTAGATGAAAGCACGTATATAGCTAGAATAAATATTATACGTAGAAGAGAAGAGGCAGAATTATAAAAAAAACAGGAAAGAAAACATAATTATAAAATATGATAGTAAATTTTTTATCTAAATCAAAATTTAACATGCTTTTAATGATAGTTCTAGCATTAAAAAATTAAATCGTATCTCTTTTAATACATAGAAATTCCCACAGATCATTTCAGTAATTGTGCAACGTTCCAGTAATATTACAGTAAAATTGAAAAAATTGCAACAATGTTACTTTATATAGTCAACCCTCCCACAACACGGTACTCCGAGAACACGTTTTCGACATAATATGGTGCTGGGTGGAAAAATTGCGATAGATCTTATAACACGCAATCTTCCGAGAGCACGGTTTCCATGTAGCACGACTTAATAAACTTAGAAAATCCTCATATAACACGAATTATGTATTTGACTCGAGGACCAAAATCAAATATAATATTTCGGTAATTCTATAGTCTAGGTACAGCACATCCCATTTCCTTGATCTACATCTTGATTTTACAAGCTTCTGTTGCCTATATGATATTATAGTAAAACATTGCAATTAAGAAATTTTTATAAATTTCTAATCTAAAATATAAGGAAAATGGTTTAATGAAATATTTATTTAATATCGATATAAGATATTGCAAATATATTTTTTCCAGAGAATCCATACAAGTGTCAAGATAGAAATTAATACATTCGTTTCAAGCTGATTAGTGATACGATCTATTTTCTCGTAATATAATAGGGTATTGTAGAAAGTAATCTATTCACTGTCAATAGCTATATACTATATATATCTGTAAGGCTCCTCGACGTCGTCGTCGTCGATCGATTGACTGCTCCTTTTCGAGATGAGCCCGACAGCCGTGCGCGTTGTACTCTCACGTACTTACTCGGTACGTTAATAATGACGTGCACGCGTGGAATTCGATAGATTGCGAGCGATCCGCCACTGAAATTCGACATACAATCGGTAGCCGGCTCGCGAGTGGATTAGGGAGCTTGGATAAATTTTCAATTGGATCGCTAAGCTCTCTCAAAGCTCAACTGACGTTGCACGTTACGCTGGTATATTTCATAACAATTAAATACATTTCAGGAATGAGGAATACACCCTGCGTCAACTCTATGTGATTATGTGTAAAAAGAATAACGAGAGAAAGAGAGGAGGGAGGGAGAGAAAGAGAGAGAGAGAGAGAGAGAGAGAGAGAGAGAGAGAGAGAGAGAGAGAGAGAGAGAGAAATAACATATTTTGCTGAAGTTCTAAAAATTTAAGTGAATAAAAGAAAACTCACTCTCTCTCTCTCTCTCTCTCTCTCTCGCTCTCTCTCTCTAAATTAGTGATAAAGATTGTTCCAATTGAATAATTCTTTTAACAAAGTTGTAACAATCCTTCTATGTTCACTAAGTTTTCTTTTATTCTAATGAAACAAAAATTTTAAGAATTGCGTTTAATTCAAAGTTAATGTCGCGCATGCAAGTTGGATGAACGCAGAAATTTCACAGAGTTGAATCTTTTAACGACCGTGCGTGCATTTTGTGCGTTTTTTTCATTTTACCCGAATTCGATGGAAAATTTTAGCTCGCTTTCGTTGCTCGTTAATGAAAATCAATGCTTGGACTCGTTAAATGCTCGCGATCCGCGTCCGGTAGCCCAAATAGTGAACACGTCGCATCTGATCCGAAAACGACGCGAATTCTCCATTTCAGTGAAATTTACGAGCATGCTGGCTTTAATTTATGCTGTATCCTGCTTGCTGCTGACTGATTTGTGATCTTGGCGGACGAGTTTTACGTCCACACTCGCGTGACATTCGATGTGAAAATATACCTCTCCGTTAGTCTTATGCACCATTTTAAATCAATCGGATTTTGTTATTGTTCGAAAGTGTTATTATTAGGAATGACATGTGCGTGTCGTTTTTGTAAATCTCATGTATCTCCAGTATTTCATATATATTTATAATAAAATTTTCGCAATATAATACCTTCTCATTTTTTATCTCATCCAGCAAAAACTCTCTTGGTTCAGTGTAAAGTAAAAAATATTCTATTATTTACCAAGAGAAAAAGATTTTTCATTGTATTTTAAAACAAAACAATCACTTACAGCAGTATATTTTCATAACTATAATAAATAAATATATATACTTTTATATATTTTTTATTGATTTATATACGATTTTATATTGCATCTTAAAATATTATATAATTACTAAAGAACGTACGTGCTAAACTTAAATATGATTATGTATAAAGATTGCGAAAAAAGTGTAATCGTTAGATAAATGTATATTATTTCAAAATCAATTGTTAATAAATGTTGTGTATATATGTCATAACATGCAAATGCGTTAATAGAAGGAAAATGTTGAGTCAGTTAAAATAATAATACATTGCATATGGCACATTTCCACAAGAATGCGCATAGTCATTGCACGATAATTATAATTGAATACGATTTGAAATTAATGATTACCGGCACCGTGCTATTAGTGCAAATTTTATCTCTGTTCTCGTCTATTTAATACAGTGATGTGATGCCATAATAACGCATCGATTTACGGATTTGCAGTAAAAGCGTATATGCATGCATCTATTAACATTTTCAGAATGCTCAATGAGATAGCGCGCCGATTATAGCAAGTTCTATATCGGATTTCTTTATTCATTGTCGGCGAACATATCATTAACATTCGAATCATATATAAACATAATTTTCGTTTAACATTGTGCTACAAATTCGACACGGCAGTATATATATTGATATGTATATATAACTCAAAATATTAGCGATAACGCTCTGTAGCTATATAGATCATATATATAGATAAAGATGATATATATTTGTTGTTAATATTTTGCGAATTTTGGGAAAATCACACATTTTTTCACTTTTTTTTCAAGGGTTGGTTATTATATTTTTACTCTCTTAGAATTGCAAGAAAGTTATCGTTAGAGTGATACAATATATCATTTTGTTATTTATGCGCCATTTCACGAAATATCTTGCAATTAAACTTGTCAATAAAATGCTCTCCTACAATTAAAAAATATTAATTAATTTCACTCGAGCGTGGGGTGTCCTTTGATTAATTATTTCATGAACAGGTCAACAGGGAATAAAGATTGAATCTCCGAAGTATGAAGTCGCGAGCTCAGATCATCAACAATGATCATCAATAATAACGCGATTGTGCTACTAAGTTTCATCGGCAATTTCGATTTTCTCCATTAAATAAGTAAAGAATTTCGTTTTACTCGTTGGATTCTCGAGTTTCTCTTATGTCCCGCTGTCAGAAACTGGAACGGTTCTTGTAGAGCGCAGGATTTGCGTATGCATGAGAATTTTTGTATTAATAATTCAACGAGTATTTCCTTACACAGAACAACATATATTATCGATTCTCTTAACAAAGTTCACCAAAGTTAGACGGAAAATGCTTCTTCGTTTTAGCATACAAAACTGAAAATTCCAAAGTTTAATTCTTGTGACATATTAATAATTCATCCAGTATCTGTTTTTTAGACGCATTAGGTATACATATTTCAATTGCGAGAAAAATTAAGTCATTCCTTAATAAATTTATTTTTTGAAGTTGAATTTTAGATCTGTACAGAAGTTTTGAGATGCACTTTCAAGATAATATTATTTTGAAGTTCATATTTTAGAGAGATAAAATTTTAAAATAGAACTTACTTTTTAAATTAATTTTTACATATAAAAAACTACGAGCTGGACAAAATGGGAAATTTTCTTTGTGAGCTCATCACACGCCCAAACAAAATTTGCAAACATTTTTGACTTTCTACCGTGAGAACTTAAAATTTTCTCTACAAAGTTTTTAAAAAATATTTTTTTTTTTAGATTTTTAGTTATTGAGTTTTATTGCGAATTAAATAAAGAGAATTTTTACTTTAATTGCTCATAACTCTGTTAAAAATCGTCGCGTGTGAGTGCACGCGTATTGCAATTAAAAAACAGATTCTTAAAGCTGAAGCTTTGTTCTGTCAAATGATGCAAACGCCAAATTAAAAAAAAAAAAAATGTCAACGTGATATAAATGAAATAACGCTATGAACTTTCGTTTCAATCCAACACATATATTTTTCTCCTTAATTAAATTACTCTGATATCTACATTATGATATTATGCATTAAATTATTCAGAAATTTATTGTATAAATTAACATAAATTGTATCTGTGTTATGACTGAAATATTTTATACGATAAATTATGACTCTATTAAGGACGCTATTAACCCAAAATGGTTGCATGATATAATTGTAAGAGAGACAAGCGGTTCAACTTTCCAATTGAACAAAATCAGATATGAGATAAAGTATATTATTAACTAAATAAGTAATTGATTACTAGCGCATATAATTAACTGAATGATTAAATGGACAATTAATTGCCTCGTAATTATTGTTGTTTCGCATACATATGTATGTAATTGATATAGTAAAAATCCTCAATTAC